ATAGTGTTCATATGCATTAAAAATAATAATAATAATACATGCAAAACCTAAAGTATTATAATATACAAAAACTGTGATTTCATTACTGGAAAATAATAAAAATCAGTAATGTGATTAAATGTTCTAATAAAAAATTAAATAAAAATATGTATTAAAATATAACCGTAATAATTTTATAATGAATGCACCTTTCTGACAATACAGTATACAGCTTTAAAATATGTAATTGGCTACAAATTGGTCGTTATGAAATCCATCTTTTTTTCTTTAACTTCTCATTCAGTAGAAGAGTTGTGAAAATGGTCAGATATATCCATACTTTGGAAACTTTTTATAAAGCAGTGTTCTTATCCTTAACTAAAACTGAGACTAAAAGTATTACAAATAATTGTCTGTAATTCAGTTGAAGCTGAAATAGAATAAAATAATAAAATAAAATAATAAAATAAAATATAAATATTAGATAAACAAAACCCTGAAAGTCAGATATGTTGCCTTGGCAACTTACTGTAATAAATAAATTGAAGTAATAAGTCTTAATTACTTAAACTAAAACTGAAATAAATATAAAGGTAAAAAGAAATATTTAAAAACAATAAGAACTAATAATGACAAAAGCACATAACAAAATTACTACAACTCTAAAATTAAAATTAAAAATTAAAATAAAAGCTAATTCAATATATTATTAAGTACTATAAGTAAGGGATAATGTAAATCCAGCCAGTTATTGCAAAAATAAATTATTTTGCAATGACAACCAGCTGGATTTACAATATCCAACTTATTACAAGGCTATTTGCCACACACATAAATAAATAGACAAAAAATGTTGATTTATGTTGAATGTTGAAATATTGTAGTAGCTCTTTAAACGCAAAGTTTACACAGCTTTTCACCACATAAATAATGACGCAGACACGAAATGAGAAGCAACCATCATAAAATCGTACCTATTTATTTTATAATCTAGCACAGTGTACAAAACAATTGTTCTGACAACAAGACGAACACTTCAACAGTATTACCGCAGACCTACTATTAATACTGAAGGTTTAATTTGAAAGTAAATAGAGTCGATAACTAAGACGTAAGATGGCGGCAGCTGCGTTTGCGAATATCTGACCTCAGAATGCCAAGACTGACCAATCGGAATCAAGCATTTAATAATAGTGTATAAACAATGTTAAAATAAGCTGTAATAACACATGAATACATATGAATAATGAGCATCATGCTTGGAATGGACAGCACTGTAAACCTTGAGGTTTAACCCCTCGTCTGCTGCCCTGCAGGGGAACAATCCATCACGGGACAGCATCCACTCGTACTACCAGAGACAGATGTGCAGGCCAGCGTCCGCTGAGTCCAGCCTGGACCGGACTGAGGACAAGTACTCGGACTTCAGCCCCCTGCGGAGCCAGGCTTACGAGTCCGATGTCTCTAGAGAAAACCTGTCCAGGTGAAGAATCTCCACTCAATGTGTTCTAGATCTGTTTGAGACTTGGGAAAATCTAATTCACGCGCATTTTCAGCTTTATGAAGTTGAAATAATATTTTTTCATGCCTCCAGATGGCTTCTCGCAGACTAAGCCCCGCTTATCTCAGGGTTGATTTATCGCCATGAAAAAGGTCTTCCGTAAAAGCTGTCTGCAGGAATGAAGTGTATGGAGAGCTGAAGTATGGCAGAGATTGTGTTTAGTAAAGGCTCAGTAGTAGGGTTGGGTGTTTAGCGATTCTTAACGATTCCTAGTCAAACGTTTAGATATCAAACATATTTATTCTGTCTTTTTGCAAAACATTTTGTTGCAGCTGAATGAACAAAAATCAGCAGCCTGAAGAACACTTGAACACGATGAACTTTTGCCAAAGATACCGCAGCAAAAACATCTAGACCAGTGGTGTTGTCCTAAAAGAAAAAGTGGTTTACTATTACCCAGTCACACCCAGCACCAAATAACTAGCTAAATGAATGAACGAATGATGTTGTTTTGTTGGTTAATTAGTAATTTATATAACTACACTGTACTGGGAAATTGGTTGACGGATTATTTTTCAAGTTGTCTACTGCGTGGCTGAGGTAGTTCCAGGTCTGACACAGGGTTGCCAGGTTCTCACAACAAAACCTGCCCAACTGCTACTCAAAACTAGCCCGATCGGGGGGTAAATACATGTAAAAATCATGGTTTTGATAGGGTTCCCCTGGTAAAATTCGCGTTACAGTGGCTAAATATCATGGTTATTGGGGTCGCTTCAACCTGCAGACGTGAAAAACAACCCGCGGCAACAGTGTTAAAGCAGGCCAATTGCGCGGGAAAACCACAGACTTGGCAACACTGGCCTTACAGTAGTTCTATATGACTATAATTTCAGCATGCTGCTTTGAAATTATATTCTTTGTGAAAAGTGCTTTACAGATAAATCTGAATTTAATGTTTCATTTTATGCAAGTGGGTAGAAAAAAAGCTTAATATGAAATAAATATTCACAGGTAATATTTTCTTAAATTTACTTTGACTTTATAGTATAAAAGCCAATTATTTAATTCAAACATAATTTTTATATATACTTATTATACTTAATAATTTTTCTCAAACAGTATAAGTGGGTCTTTATGTAAAAATATAGCTGATTTTATAATTTAGGAAGGGAATTACTGTATATCAGCTGGGGAATTATTGACTGAAAGGCTGAGGGTGCTCTAACCTTAATACACATCTATTTGTCCTGTCCATTGCTATGGTTACACTATGTCAAATCTATGCAGTGTGTAGGTGAAAAACAACAGTTTAATACAAATTCTGAATGGATTAGGCTATAGAAAAATATCACGATCTCACAAAAATCAGTGAATCTCTTATTTACATCTACATCTTCACTTTCTAGCTCGCAGAACTCGGTACTGGTCAACGACTCAGTGTTTTGAGTGTTGAGTAGATTCTAGCTTAAACACCTGTAGGCTGTTGCATTCAAGAAATCAACAGATATGTCTGTGATTGGCTACATTATTTAACGCCGTAAAAACATGTTGTAAATAGAATACATGCGAATGGCCCGGGCTACACCACTGATCTAGACAAACTAATATAGATTTCAAACATTAAAAATGAAATGTTTTTTGATTACAAGATGTTCTTGATTACAAGACATGAAAATAGTCAGTAATAAAATAAGAACAAATAAAGAATTAGTAATAACACAAATAAATACAACTGAACAAAGTTCAGGTACAGTAATAGACATTAAATGTAATCAAATGTAAAATATAGATTAATCATTATTAAAGTTACAAAAGTTATTCAGCTAAGATCAGTGAGTGATTTTCTTTTGCTCTTTGATTAACATTTAATGGCACAGACAGAAACAGGAATATTAGGCTGCTGTCACTTTAAGACCTAATGCACTGTTCCAATATACTGACACACATGCGCTTTCTTTCTCAACTGTTTATGTTCACTTAAGACCAGGAAATTTTAACATAAATGTGTGTGTATTTGTCCGTTCAAGAAGACGTGAAAGAGATCTCAACTATATATGAGAGACAGCTTTCTGTGTTCATGCTTTGGATGTGTGTACGAGTGCCGAATTGAGTTCTCTTTTGCATCCTCTTGAGCTTGAATGGTTTAAAATCACATTAAAACAAGCGAAATTGAAATGTGCGTGTCTTATTGAATCTACGGTTCTTGGAAATTCTGAACCGGTTCTAAACTGGAACTGGTCCTCGACACCCAACGCTACTCAGTAGTCTATATAAGTGCTCAAAGTAGCTTGTAGAGGATTCTCAAAACAGGACTAGATGTCTACTAGTAAAAAACCTGGTATATAAAATTATGACCTAGCAGCACCTTCTTGTGAATGCAGCTTCTGTCATTTCATTTTAGTGACTGTGAACTGTAAATCAGACACTGTTCTCATTAAATGAGCAGCTCAGTTCAGTGTAGCAGCCTGTTATTTTGCAGGACGACTTATTTTTACTTATTTTTACTCTCGCTACACCCAGTGTAAGGCGCACACTGCAGATAAGGTGTTTGCCAAGGGTTCAGTGTGCCAGATTTCAACAACACCCTTCTGTCTCACCAGCACACTGACGCCAAATCATCAGATTCCTCGGCTAATTTAAAAAATATATATATATATTGGCTAGACATACGCTGTCTAAATAGTGCCAAACTTTGTGGTATAAAATGTAATGATATAACTCATGATATATACCATGATACTGATACCATATTTACACCATTCAAAAGTTTGTAAGATTTTTTTTTTTTTTTTTTGAAAGAAGTCTCTTCTGCTCACCAAGGCTGCATTTATTTGATCAAAAATACAGTAAAAATTATGAAATATTATTACAGTTTCAAACAGCTGTTTTCTATGTGAATCTCTGTTAAACTGTAATGTATTTCTGTGATGCGCAGCTGTATTTTCAGCATCATTACTCCAGTCTTCAGTGTCACATGATCTTCAGAAATCATTCTAATATGCTGATTTGCTGCTCAAGAAACATTTCTGATTATTATCAATGTTGGAAACAGTTGATATTTTTGTGGAAACCGTGATACATTGTATTTTTCAGGATTCACAGATGAATAGAAAGTTCAAAAGAAAAGCATTTATTTGAAATAGAAATCTTTTGTAACGTTATAAATGTCTTTACTGTCACTTTTGATCAGTATCCAACAAAACATGCTAATGACATGTTATTTATTGTAAGTGTATCCTGAATCTGGTTCGTGTCTGTGTGTTTTCTGCAGTGTGTACACAGAATCCACTGTGCTGTTCGAGTCTGAGGAAACCAGTGAGCATGTTCTCAAAACCAGCCAGCGCACTCGACCCAGACTCTGCCGCCTGCCTGGTGTGAATGTGCAGTCGTCGTCTGCAGACAGTGCAGCCAGGTATGAACCTCCAGCGTCTGCTCTGCTTCAGACCGGCCGTGTGTTTCTGTGTACTTACAGCTCGGGGCCTTTCTGTCATTACCAGTTAGGAGGCAGGTGACTCTATTATGCGTGTAAACGAATCTGTCCTGAGTGTTAACACACACACTCACACACACACACACACACACACACACACACACAGCTGTGGATGGTTACTGTAGCCCTGTGATGACAGACGGACGGTGTTTCCAGAACCTTCTGCTCACACACAGCCAAAGCACAATGCACACAGATATTCAGAGTGAATTTAGACACTGCACCGTACAGATTATATAACAGTCTATTATTTATTAGTGATGTTTCCTAAGGTACTATTAATTTATCCTGCTCAGTTTGCACTGCCTGCCACAGAATAGCAAAAGTAAAAATAAATAAATAAATAACTGTGAGGTAAAAAAAAAAATAAAAATCAAACAATCTCACAATTATGATTTTTTTTTGTTTCTGCCACGGAATAAAAAAAATTTAAAAAGTAACTGCTTCTCTTTTTGTTTGTTTCTTGCAGTTCTGACTTTTTTCTCGGAATTCTTACAATGCAGACTTTTTCTCTGAATACTGAGTTTATATCTTATATTTACAAGTTATAAGCTCTTAATTGCGAGTTTACATCTTGCAATTCTAAGACAATTAATTTCTCTTTCATGAGGTTATGCTTGGGTTTACATAAAGCTGAACAGATTTTCATATTAAAATTTCTGGATATTTGGACTGGAATTGAATGACTTTTAAAAGTCAAGGCAACATGATGGGTCACTTTTTAAATGTATTTTTTAATATGGAAGCAAAAATTCCTTGTATATAAATGTATTATTTAATATATTGTCTAATACATAAACAATGTATTATTCTGTATATTTTTAAAATGCATTAAATAATTTTATATATTATTCATTCATATATAAAGAAATATATTTTCTGTTTGTTACTGTATTTTGCTGTACACATCACATCTCTAAAAAAAAAAAAGAGTAGGCAGTGTGTAGTGTTTTATGCTAGTCTTCTGGTCAGACTTGTGGGATGGCGGTCCCCCCTTGTGGTTATTTGCATGAATTACAACTATCAGCCTTATTTCTTCTCACTGACCTGAACTCTGTGTTGCTCTGGCAGTGACCGCACGCAGTGCACTGAGCTCTACTCGCGGCAGGGCACCAGTGACACCGTCGAGGAGGCCGTGAGCCAGCGAGAACTGAGAGAGCATCCAGACAAACTCTGGAGCAGCACTTCAGACCTGCGGACGCCTCTGAGAGCGGAGCAGGTGTGCTGGACGCAGGGCGAGGCGGACATCCCTCCGTCGTACAGTAAAGCCACGGGCCTGGACTCAGTGTGTGACGCGGAGGGGAGGAGGCTGAGGATCCAGACACCTGATGAGAAGAGCGCCGACGTTCTGCTCTCAATGAGCCATCAGCTGACAGCCAGTGAGCTGCTGCGGAGCAGGTGAGAGCATGTCATGTGACCTCAGTTAAACACCTGCAACACAAGCTGCTGTGTGGACACAAAATATGTGTTCAGTTACATTTCTTTTTCCTCAATACCACAATACCATTCAAAAGTTTGGGGTCGGTAAGATTTTTAAAATGTTTTTTAAACAGTCTCTTCTGCTCACCAAAGCTGTGTTTATTTGATTAATACAATACAATAAAAACTGTAATATTGTGAAATATTATTAGAATGTAAAACAGCTGTTTTCTATGTGAATCTCTGTTAAACTGTAATGTATGTCTGTGATGCGCAGCTGTATTTTCAGCATCATTACTCCAGTCTTCAGATAATATTTTAAGGCCCAATTGGTTACATTATATTAAATTATGTTCTTAAAACAAGGCTATTTGTGCCATGTGGAGTAAGTTGGGGAGAAAAAAAAAGAAAAAGAAAAAATTGATTAATTACAATTTGTTTTCATGATTTCTTTTTTTATTTCATGATATCTTTGTTTCCTTTTGTAACATTTAAATACAGATATAGATGTATAGATACATTTAAATATAGTAGTATTTATTTATTTATGTATTTTTAACGTATTGCTCCAGTATCTCAAAACAGCTGGTTCCCATTGTGACAACAAAATAAAAGTGTCCTGGGCAATAACTGTGAAAATGTTCAAAAGCCTTTTGTGGCCAAGACTTTAATTATGTAGACTTTTATCAAATAAAATAAATAAATAAGAAATATATAAAAAAAAAAAAATACTAGAAATGAAAAAAGTGTGACAAGTCTCCCTGTATGTGAAAGCACACTTCAAAAGTGCATTATAACTGATTGTGTCTGTTTCATACAGTCGTGCTGCACAATATTTTTGTGGAAACTGATGCATTTTATTTTTCAGGATTCACAGATGAATAGAAAGTTTTGAATATTTGAAATATTTGTTTTCTAACATTATAAATGACTTTACTGTCAGTTTTGATCAATTTAATGTTTCCTTACTGAATAAAAGTATTAATTTAATAAAAAAACAAAAACAAATTACTGACCCCAAACCTTTGAACAGTAGTGTATGTAAAAATACAATTATGTAATATTTGACATGTGTAAGCAAACGCTTCTGGATGACGGCCATCGTCTACACGGAGGTATCGCTGCATCTGTGACGCTCCACTCTCAGATCATAGATTCAAGATCGATCGTTCAGTATCTCCATGACATTGAGTAACTTTATCTTACAGTGTCCTTGTTACACACGTTACATGCACTTACTATAGCAATAAGAGTAAATGATGCATAATTACAAACAACTAAAGCAAACCCTAAACCTGTAGTACATGTTGTTTATTCATATTACTCAGTACTTAACGCTGTAATGCATAACTTTTAGTGCTCTAGCGGTTAATAAACAGAACTGCATCTATACACCTACATCTGTATTTAAATGTTACAAGTTAAAAAAAAGGAAACAAAGATATCATGAAACAAAAAAGATATGTATTGCAGCTTTAATTGTATAATCACACTGCAACAAGGACACCTTAAAATAACCACATTTTGGTTTGCATTAGTTATCTAACATTAATTAACAATGAGCATCAAATTTATTTCAGTATTTGTTTACTAATCCTTGTTTATGTTCAAATAAAACACAACTGTTCATTGTTAGTTCATGTCCGCTCAGATCCATTAAATATGTATTCATCATGTATTAGTAAATGTTTAAATTAACAAGTACAGTAAGTTTAATAAATGCTTTAGAAGTATTTTTTTTTATTGTTCATGTGAACAAATGAGACCTTACTGTAAAGTGTTGCTCATGTTGTGTTTCGGAGAGCATTTTCTTTTTCCTGAAAATGCTAGTTAATGTTCTCGCATTGGACTAAAACTTACTGACTTACGCTCACACAGGGTTTAACAAATTACCAAAAAAATATATATAATTTTTGTGCATTACGCTTGTGGTGTTCCAGATGTCCGGCACACAAAAAATTGCTTCTAAATCTCTTGATATGCGATATTATCAGCAAATCTTGGATTCAATCTTTTTATCAACTTGTTTTCTTTAAGTAGCACAGGTTTTGTGTTTCTTTTGGAGCTGATTGATTGCAGGCCTCATTGATCTGAACTTAATATGCACCTCAGTTATTGAGTGAATATTGCCAAAATTATTCACAAATAATGCTTTTTTCACTCAAAAACTGATGCATAAGTTCAGATCAATGAGGCCTGCGATCAATCAGCTCCAAAAAGAAACACAAAACCTGTGCTACTTTCAAAAAACAAGTTGATACAAAGACTGAATCCCAGATTTGGTGATAATATCGCATATCGAGAGATTTAGAAGCAATTTTTTGGGTGCCGGACATCTGGAACACCACAAGTATAACAAGGTGGGGAAAAAATCCCACAAAAATCCCAAAAATGATAGTTTCACCAAAGGAGAGATTTACAAGCAATTTTTAAAAAGCCGGTCATTTTTGACCAGGAACACCAAATTAAGTAAAGGATTTTCAAGTTGATACAGTAGTTACTAGGGCTGTCAAAAAAAAAATTCGAATTTCGAATATTTGTCGAATTTAAAATAAAAATCCACATTCGAATGCAAAAACGTTGCATTCGAATTTTAGGTGTGGGTTAAGGAGGCAGCTTTATCAGCGGCGCACGAGATGCGATGACGATGTAAGTGTCGTTGCATTATAATGTTTTTGTTAGCCTGTCCAGTTGAAGCCACTAGATGCGGCGCTGCTGCGTTGTTAATTACAAATATTGCGGGAAAAGTGAACATCAATGCGGAGAAGATCTTGTTTACGTCAAAACTGAAACCAAGCCGTTCACACAGAACACATATTTCGCACATTTTCTAGAGGGACATCTATCACCATTGCACTCGCGTCTCGCACAAAAGAGAAAGCCATGGAAAATTAATGCAAGTTCAACTTTGAAAAAACATATCTCGAGACTTTATGGCGGGTTTTTTCCACATCCCACTGCAACTCGTGTTTTTAAATGAAAAATGTACTCTGTGTGATTGGCTTTCAGCCCTTTGTATTAAACTATGCATACATACGTACATGATGCTGTTTTGTTTATAGTTGATTAAGCAACTTAATTATAATTGGTTTATAAACATTATTTTAAACATTATGCACTTTTTCCACAGATAGTCATGTTATCTTATGCTTTGAATAAACGTGCATTAGTAATATTTTGCTCGATGCGCCCTCTTGTGGCCTCAGGAGAGAAGCCACAAGCTTTTCTTCACCCTAACTGAAATTATGCATTTTAAATTCAAATATTGATAATACTTAAGTAAAAAATTTGAATGTAGTTTTTTGACAGCCCTAGTAGTTACAGTAGTTGTATAATATCGACCGGTTGACCACATACAAATAACCCATAGTGTTTAATCTTAATACAATGTTGCACGGCCTGTAATTAACCTGCTTTAGTCTAACAGTTATCATGTTGCGTTGTTCTTTCTCAAAATAATATATTCTTATTTTCTCACACAGGTCACCATAGTGATCAAGTACTTCTTCCAGTTTGGCTTCTTTCCGTTTAACCAGAGCATAAAGCTGGACAAATCCAAACCCTTCCACCCTCCCAACATCATCGGTGTGGAGAAGAAAGAGGGCTACGTCCACTACGACCTGATCCAGCTGCTGGCGCTCTTCTTCCATCGCTCCATCCTGAAGGTAGAGAGACGCTCTGTGATGTGTGTCACGTGTCTTGACTGAACATGCAAAGTGAACGCGCTCTTCTTCCTCAGTGCTACGGTCTGTGGGATGAAGATGAGCCCAGGTCAGGAGGTCAGACTGCGAGCTCTCATTCAGACAGTGAAGAGAAAGAAGCCTCATCCGTCTCCACACACATCCGGCTGCCCAGAAAACCCCTCCGACAGAGCTCCAGCGTCTCGCAGCGCTCGGCCCGCTCTAAACCAGGTGCGCTCAGATACACGATTCTGCTCGTGCACTCCGATATCTGAAGGTTCGGTCACATTTGGTGGCTCAGAAAGGTCTAATTGCAGTGGTTCTCAACCAGGGACCTCAGCAAACTTCCAAGGGGGCCTCGAGATGACTTCAAGACAAAACAAGCTTTAAATAAGCTAAAACTGCTACAAATCAGGTTGTAAGCTGACATATTTCTTACTTTAATTTGTTCTCTTAAGAACAACCATATTTGAAATTCCCAGTCTTGGAAAAAAAATAACACATGGAAAAGTCATAGTAAGTATTAAAAAAAATGTTTAAAATCATGTACATTTTTATAATTTATATAGCTTTCTAGTTATGTGAAGTTCTATTTTTTTTAACTTGCAGAAATTGCTATTTGTCAGTAAAAAATAAACAAAAAAACATAATCATGAATTTGCGTGACCAGCTGAACCCGATGTGAAATCTGTGTGTGGAAATCTTCCAGCATTCGCTTGGATTTTTATTGAAATCAGTGGATTTTGGCTGTGGAAAATTTGCTGAAAGAGAGCGCACTTTTTTCCCAAGGAACACGTGTGCTCCTAAAGTCAAAAATCAGGAGCACATTACAAAAACTTGGGATGCAAGGAGAAAAGAGTACAAAAAGTGCACTCTTTCAGCTTGAAACTGTATTTGATAGTTGTATACTTATATATCCTATAAACAGATTTCTAGTAAAATCTATATATTGACTGTGTTAATTAATGTTTGCTGTTGCTACAAGAGTTTACATTGAATTAAATGCTAGATACAGTTTATTGTGTAACCAAATTAGCAATATTACCCAAGGAAAACAAAACAAAACTTTATGCATAATACAGGACTTCTAATCCTAAAGAGGCCTGAAATACACTGTCTATTATTTTGAAATGTCTATGCTTTGCTATTTCTGGCTGCTCATTCAGAAAGACGAGGGAGATAAAATGCACAACATCGTATAAACACCATAAAGCAAACGCTGTCATAATTCATCAACAAGTCGATCGCAAGCATTTGGCATAAATGTGTGATTTTCATTGTTTGCAAACTGCAAAGAAACCGCAAACCTGTAAAACACACAACAGCGCTGCGTTTGGACTTTGAATGGCCAGCGTTCACATTTACTTGATGAAATCAGAGTCTGTTTAATTAATAATCACATTAGGCTTTTCTGTCCCCAAATTTAAGACCTCTTAGAATCATCATTAAGATGATTAGACATTTTAAATACCCACAGGGACTTGTTTATTCGCACACATGCTCCCAAATAGGTTTCACAGCTGGCACACATCTGTTTTTAGTCTCAAAAGCCCTGCGGGTCCCTGACCTTGGCTCTGGATGTGTCTCCGCAGGCAGCAGCGGCTCCAGGACGAGTGTGCGTTCACTGAGCGCTCAACTGAAGAGCCGCAAGGAGCTCATTTTGGACAAGCTCAGAGAACAGCTGATCAAAGCAAAGCGCTTCACTGTCAAAACGTGAGACTCCCGCTCAAGTCGCTCATTTATTTGAAAAGGAAGTTACATCGTCATATTATTTTTGTAATTGTGATGGGTTGCTGTTGTTTCAGGATTCTGGATATCTACATTCCCATTCGGCAGTTCTTCTATAACCTGATCCACCCGGAGTACAGTGCCGTGACCGACGTCTACGTGCTCATGTTTCTGGCCGACACGGTCGACTTCATCATCATCGTTTTTGGATTTTGGGCTTTCGGGGTTTGTAGAGCTTCACCTGCTCAAACACATGACAGCTTAAAGGAATAGTTCACCAAAAAATGAAAGTTTGCTGATAATGTGCTCACCCTCAGGCCATCCGAGATGTAGATGAGTTTGGATTTCATTTCTCCAAACCTGATGAAGAAACAAACTCATCCTAATCTGGGATGGGTGCATTTACAGCAAACTTTCATTTTTGGGTGAAGTGTTCTTTAACATAAGAAATCCTGTTTGAAAAAGCAGTTAAAATTGGCATGAAACAGAAATAGGGACAGATATTTTGTTCCATGTTGTGATGAACATCCAAGTGTAACAGAGTTTTTATAAATGTGGGTGTTGCATTAAGAAACGAGTGTGAGTTTGTAGTCTATTGTAAGAAAGTGATGCTTTTAAGTGGACAAGCCTGTAATTTCATAAGTTTGAATTGTGACATTTTGATTAAAAGTTATTAGTTCAAAATACAAAAAAAAATGAATCATGCATGGATGAATCGTTCACAATAATCATGCTGACTTTGAAAAAAAAAAATACAATTATTAAACACCATCTAAGTGCAATAAAACTGAAGTGAAACTGGTTTCTCCACAGAAACACTCTGCTGCGGCTGACATCACTTCCTCTCTGTCAGAGGATCAGGTTCCCGAGGCCTTCCTGGTGATGGTGCTGATCCAGTTTGGGACGATGGTGGTGGACCGTGCGCTGTACCTGAGGAAGACCGTGATGGGGAAGGTCATCTTCCAGGTCATCCTGGTCTTCGGCATTCACTTCTGGATGTTCTTCATTCTCCCAGGAGTCACCGAGAGGTAAATGACGAATACTGTCATTATTGAACCCGTTTAAGAAGCTCGAGGCTCATCAAAAATGTGATTGGATTTGATTTAGGCGCTTCAGTCAGAACACAGTTGCCCAGCTCTGGTACTTTGTGAAGTGCATCTACTTCGGTCTGTCAGCCTATCAGATCCGCTGCGGTTACCCCACTCGCGTGCTGGGAAACTTCCTGACCAAGAGCTATAATTACCTCAATCTCTTCCTCTTCCAAGGGTAAGAAATACAGCTGGACTCATTACACAGCCACATTACAGTGTGTTCATCCTGTGATCACAGAGCATTACAGGATATTAAAGTCAATCTTCATGTGGATGACCACAAATATATTAATGCTAATGTATATACAAAGTTTAGGGTAAGTATGTATAATAATTCCATTCATCAAGGATGCATTAAATTGATCAAAATAAAATGTATCACAGTTTCCACAAAATATATTGTGCAGCACAACTGTTTTCAACATTGATAATAATCAGAAATGTTTGTTGAGCAGCAAATCAGCATATTAGAATGATTTCTGAAGATCATGTGACACTGAAGACTGCAGTAATGATGCTGAAAATACAGCTGCGCATCACAGAAATACATTATAGTTTAACAGAGATTCACATAGAAAACAGTTATTTTGATTTGCAATAATATTTCACAATATTACAGTTTTTACTGTATTTATGATCAAATAAATGCAGCCTAGATGAGCAGAAGAGACTTTCTTTCAAAAACATGTATATATAAAATGCTAAAAATTCTATAGTTAGGCTATTTTTTTAAATGAAATTTATTGCACATTTCTACATGATAATGGTTAAACAGTTTATGACTGCTCAAAATAATAAAATCACATTTGGTAATCAAGAATATTGTCATTTTATTTATTTAATTTTTTACATTAGAATTCTCAGAAAACATGATCACGAATAAAACATGATTTGTTGTGCAGCTTTTTAATATTGCTGATGTTTTTGTTCATAAAAGCCATAGGCCAACTAAGGCCATGTGTTACAGTGATTTTACCGCGGTTCAGAGGGTTTTAAGCACTCTGCTTCAAATCATGTTTACTTAGCCATCATAAAATCACTGAAATGCCAGCTTCTTATTACTTCATGCCAAAGAATGCCAAGATTTGCAAATTTTGTCAGTACTAGGCATAATGTTGTAATATATACACAGTTCATTTGGGGTTTGTCAGAAGTGCTGGGGTCCTGACCGAGTCTCATCTTTCTGAATGGTGCTCAGGTTCCGGCTGGTGCCGTTCCTGACGGAGCTGCGGGCGGTGATGGACTGGGTTTGGACCGACACCACGCTCAGTCTGTCCAGCTGGATCTGTGTGGAGGACATCTACGCTCACATCTTTGTGCTCAAGTGCTGGAGGGAGTCGGAGAAAGTGAGATGACGTCCAGCCAGTGTTTGTCAAAGCAGCATTCAGAAGCAGGATTCACGGTGGTGTGTTTGTGTGTTCTCAGAGGTATCCTCAGCCTCGAGGACAGAAGAAGAAGAAGGTGGTGAAGTACGGGATGGGGGGGATGATCGTGATGCTGCTCATCTGTATCGTCTGGTTTCCTCTGCTCTTCATGTCTCTGGTCAAATCTGTGGCTGGAGTGGTCAACAAACCGCTGGACGTGTCTGTCACCATCACACTGGGCGGCTTTCAGGTGTGTGGAAAACTGCTGCTTATAGTGACGGATCTGCGAGACGTCAGCTCAAATCAGGGGGAAAATTAAAGCTAAAATTAAAACAACAAAGTCATTAATAAAGCAATAAGCCCTGTGAAGGCGTGGTTTACAGTGAATTTATAACAGCTAAAGGGCGTTGTTAGGTACGACGTGGAGTGTCTAAAACCCCCTTAGCTGTTATAAATTCACTGTAAACCACGGCTTCACGGGGCTTATTGCTTTTATAAAACGGTTATTCCATATATACGTAGTTAGGTTTCACAAAAAAATCAAACAGAGCAAATAAAGTGTAATGATATTGCGAAATATAAACAGAATTCTGACTTGATTTTTGTTTTCGCCGTGGAATAAAAAATTTAAAATGTCATTTTTATATTGCAATTTGTACTTTTTTTTACAGTTTAAATCTTGCAATTCTGACTTTTTTGATATATAAACTCAAATGTTAAAAAAGGTCAGAAGTGTGAAAAGTTTTATTTATTTTTTTATTCTGTGGCATAAACAAGCTTCCATATGAAATAAATATTAACGGAAATAAAATGTTAAAAAACATTAAACTTGTTTTATGTCAGCTAAATGCAAAGGCAACATTTCTCATTTTCATTTATTTGAAGTGCTAAAATATCAAAAACTTAATAAAAACTATATAATAATTAATGCATTTAGCAGACACTTTTATCCAAAGCGACTTACAGTGCATTCAGGCTATACATTTTTTACCAGTATGTGTGTTCCCTGGGAATCGAACCCACAACCTTTTGCGCTGCTAACACAATGCTCTACCACTGAGCCACAGGAACATTACATAGACAATAATAAAATGATTGAAAACATTCACAAACAGAGCTGGGTAGATTACTTACAGATTGTAGTCCGTTACAGATTACATGATGTAAACTGTAGTTAGTAATGTAATCTAGGTTACTCGGTTTAGGTAATGCATTCTGATTACTTTTTATCTAACTTGTTTTAAACTTACAATTAAACGTATCATATTGATATAAAAGAGCAAAGAGAAAGAAAATGTACTTCATTTTTCCGTATCAAGATCATAAAATGCATCAAATATTACATTACACCACATATATTACACAAAATAAAAATAAAGTGTTTTAACACTTAAACACTAAAAATATAAATATTTTGTTTACCTAAATGTAATTTTAGATGTAACATTAATGTGTTGTTAAATTATTGAAATATGAACTTCCTCAGAGATATTTTAAGTAAATATTTTATGTCAGCGGGGTTTGGCTGACAACACTTTTGGGAATCCCTGCATTACACGAACAAACATGAAAAAGTCTACCAGGTGTGAAATATTTCTGTCCAGAAGCAACAGGTTACTGAAGTTACTTAATTTTTGGAATCAACGCAGCACTGTTCAGAAAAACTTTAATAGCACGACTGAAACTGAAATAAGAGTTTGATCAAATATGTCTGTGCTGTCTAGCCCATCTTCACTATGAGTGCGCAGCAGAATCAGCTGAAGGACGTCACTGACAGAGATTTCATCAGCTTCATGAATTCATACAGACACAATTCTGTAAGTCACTCATCTGTGTCTGTGGTGTGGTTTGGAGAAACGCCACTCTTTAGTTGTTGTGTAGTGTGTCAAGTGCAGCTCGATCTCTTTCCCAGAGTGCACTGCAGTTCTTGGAGGCGTATACAGCGGAGGACGTGACTGTGGCAGAGCTGGAAGGAAGCTCGAACTCTCTCTGGACCATCAGTCCTCCCAGCAGAAAGAACCTGATGGACGTCTTGAGCAAAGAGGACCAGTTCCCTGTGACCATGTCCTGGAGCATCCAGAGGTACATCACCTGCACTGGCCACCTCACCATCAATGAAAAGCTTATTTATTCAGCTTTCGGATGATGTATAAATCTCAATTTCGAGAAATTGACCCTTATGACTGGTTTTGTGCTCCAGGGTCAAATATATGACTACAGTTTTCAAGTACTCTGCTGTTCAAAATTCATTTTTGGTCAATAAGTCTCTTCTGCTCGCCGAGGCTGCATTTATTTGATTAAAAATACAGTAAAAACTGTGAAATATTATAACAATTTAAAACAGCTGTTCTCTATGTAAATCTCTGTTAAGCTGTAATGTATTTCTGTGATGCGCAGCTGTATTTTCAGCATCATTACTCCAGTCTTCAGTGTCACATGATCTTCAGAAATCATTCTAATATGCTGATTTACTGCTCAACAAACATTTCTGATTATTATCAATGTTGAAAACAGTTGTGCTGCACAATATTTTTGTGGAAACTGTGATACATTTTATTTTTCTGGATTCACAGATTAATAGAAAGTTCAAAAGAACAGCATTTATTTGAAATAGAAATCTTTTGTAACATTATACATGTCTTTACAGACACTTTTATGTGAACTTAATGTGAATTTTTATCCATTTGAAATGGTACTATACATAGTGTAACCAAGGTACATCAAAGAATACCATAGTGCCATGTACCATGTCCAAGACCATTGTAATGGTAATTTTTGCTAGTGTAGTACTGATGCACATCAAATATATCCCATAATACTTTGCTCTTGTGCAGGAATCTGAGTCTGGGAGCAAAGGCTGAGTTTGCAGTGGACAAACACATCACTTATCTGGACATGAACACTAGACAGGAGCTGATAGCGTTACTCAATGGAACCAGAAATAAACCTGTGTAAGTACAAATTTAACACATAAAAGATGCATTTCATATTTATATTAATGCTTATATATTTATGGTCCATTTTCTCATTCACAGGGTCATAGAGCAAGTGTTTCCCTGCTTTATTCGAGCACCGAGTGACTCAAACGCCAAACCAGTCGGTCAGCTTTATTCAGGTAATGCAGAGTCAGGATGACTTTCTCCATGAATACTGACATCAGCTGTAACTCACACATCTCATCAATCCCTCTGTGCCAGATGAGGGTTATAAGAGCATCCAGCTGGACTTGGAGAGGTCTCACAACGGCACTGAGGACATTCAGGAGTGGTGGATTGTGGACCAGCCGTCGGCAGGGAAGATCCAGATGAGAGCCGAGTCAAAGCTGGGTGAGTGAGTGAGTGAGTGAGTGAGTGAGAGTGAGTGAGTGAGTGTGTGTGTGTGTGTGTGTGAGTGAGTGAGAGTGTGTGTGTGTGTAGAACATTTGCAGAATTATTCAATTTATTTTTTCCTTTTTTATATAATTAGGATACCATGTTAGATGCAGTTGTTATTACAGGAAATTTTTTTTTTTGAAAACGTAGAATTAGAAAATTTCCAGACGCAAAAATAAACAAGATATATTTATTTTATTTTTGTTCTTAAAAATAAGAACAAAAATGCAAATTACAAAAATACTACAGAAATTGAATAATCAAACGTAAAATAAAACACTGCATAGTCTTCACTGTATAAATTAAATATAGATTTTTTTCTTTTTCCTCTGATTCCTTGGCTCATGTGGAGTTAAATGCATACCAAAATGTGTGCAATTTTAAATTAACCAAAAAAAAAAAGTTTTTTTTTTTTTTTACTTGTCCTAGACGGCTTATCTGATTTTTACGAAAATTGTCTCAGATCATCTTCATACCATGCTGGCAAAAGGTTATTGAATTCAAGCCGATTCGTCAAATAACATACGAATGAAGCCATTGTCAGCTCACACTGACCACATCACATCAATTTAGTAACAGCGCCACCTATTGTTCAAAACCTATAAACCAGTAAATCATATTACTATTTAAAATCATCTTAAAATGTCTTTAATGCCAGGGCTAGGCTGCCAGGTTTAGCTCCTCATTTTGCCTCTTTTATGCTTGGCCCCTTAATTGCTGTTTGCAGCTACATTGTTGTGTATATTTTGTGTTGTGTTCTGAATCGCGGCTGCAGATGTAAGTAACGCCTCACTGTGTCTCTTGCAGTATCATGGGCCTCTACGCATCCGTGGTGCTGGTGATCGGGAAATTCGTCCGCGAGTTCTTCAGCGGCATCTCGCACTCCATCATGTTCGAAGAGCTTCCGTGCGTCGACCGCATCCTCAAACTCTGCACTGACATCTTCCTCGTGCGGGAAACCGGCGAGCTGGAGCTGGAGGAGGACCTGTACGCCAAACTCATCTTCCTTTACCGCTCACCAGAGACCATGATCAAGTGGACGAGGGAGAAGACCAAATGAGCCTGCTGGGATTGCCTGAATTCCCAAAGAAGGATGCTGCATCTCGCAGGAAGGCGGCGTTAAGACTGCGAGATTCACTGAGCGGTTCAGGAGCTCTAGCGCCACCTGTCTGTCTGGAGCCTCAAACGGGAGATTCGTTAATCACGCGATGTGCAATATACTGTCCTGGTAGCTGGCTGTAAACTTGAACAAAGAAGGGAGACGGTGACTGAACACTAGCCACTTTTTTCTTCAGAGAAAACTGGACCCAGAAGTGCTTGGGTTCGTGAGACGACATGACATTGAAATTATTTTTTTTAGTTTTAGGCTTGAACGGAGGACTGAAGGGTTCTCGGGAGGATTATACGCTCATCTGGATGTCACATCGGTGTGATTGTGGATCAATATCATGAGCATAAAGCACATTCTGGAAACCAACTATTGTCTTATTTGTCTGTCTACATGTTGCACTTTTTAGTTTTTTGTTATATATATATATATATATATATATATATATTTAAATGACCATTTTGTATGCATAAATCTGCAGAAACTCAGACGTCACTGTAAAAGGCATCTAAAATATGCAAAAGATCACAGATTCTCTTTATTCAGTGGTATTCTGAAACCATGCAAATCCATAATTAACAGAAAATGTTCTTCATTAAAACAAGCTTATCTGAACATGAGAAACAACCTTAGGTTTTGTTGTTTAAGGCATTTCATGCATTTATTTGCAGCATCCTGCTTCATTTTCTGGCGAAGCTCAAGTTCCATATAACAGAGTTAAGTTGAGTTAAGAATGAATGGAATAAGTTTAAACCCTATTGAAGCTACAAACACAATGTACAGTAAATACATTCCCTTTTTTGGTAAGGCAGGCACTGTTATTTGATTTCCAGCATACAGAATATTCATATGACCGTGTATAATTTAAAATAATGAGTTGTGTAGTATTCCAGCACTGGTTTGAAATACTGTACATATAAAGACTCGGCTCCTGATTCACCCACAGAAGGTCCCATTCAGCCGTGAAGCTGTTCGTCAGGTTTGGGTTTACAGAAGCTTGTTTCCACCATGCAATAAAACAATAAAAGTAATTGTGACTTTATTGCACAATTCAGATATTCGTCTTGCAATTCTGTGTATATAGAAAAAGTCTGAATTGTGAGAGAAAAAGTCTGAATTACCAGAAACAAGCTTCCATATGGGTTTGCCTGAACACTCTTTAGAACACAAATTTTCATTTTAACATTATAGGTGAAAGGCAAACCTAAATATGCATACTTAAAGGGTTAGTTCACCCAAAATTCTGTCATTAATTACTCACCCTCGTGTCGTTCCAAACCCGTAAGACCTTCGTTCATCTTCCGAACACAATTTAAGATATTTTTGATGAAATCCGAGAGCTCTCTGACCCTCTCATAGACGGCAAGGTAACTACCACGTTCAAGGTCCAGAAAAGTACTAAGATGATCGACAAAGTAGTCCGTGTGACATCAGTGGTTCAACTGTGAAGTTACGAAGCTACGAGAATACTTTTTTGCGCAAAGAATACAAAAATAACGACTTTAATTACGCATTTGTGTCTCGCACTTTGGACGCGCGTTCACGACAGTATCATGACGCGAGCGTGTGGCGGCGCTGACCCAGATCCAGCGTAATCTGCGCAAAAAAGTATTCTCGTAGCTTCGTAACTTCACAGTTGAACCGCTGATGTCAACACGGACTACTTTGTCGATCATCTTGGTACGTTTCTTGAACGTGGTAGTTACCTTGCTGTCTATGGGAGGGTCAGAGAGCCCTCAGATTTCATCAAAAATATCTTAAATTGTGTTCCGAAGATGAACGAAGGTCTTACGGGTTTGGAACGACACGAGGGTGAGTAATTCATGACAGAATTTTCATTTTTGGGTGAACTATCCCTTTAAGAGAGGATGATGTTGCATAAACGTGCTGCTTATCGTAAGGACTTTTCTCTCCTTCGTTCTGAAAGCATCTTAAAACACAAACACCTCCAGTACAGGAATATCATATTTAGGGATCATGCTTGCACCTTCATGGAGGAGTCTGAGTATGTTTGGTAGACTAGAGCTTTAACAGAGGCCTCCAGCATACTCATCCTCCTCTTCCTCCGGTGGCGCGGCTCCTGAATCTCCAGCAGCAGCAGGTTTCTTCTTTCCTCCTCCAGGCACTTTCAGGCTGATGGCAAGCTTTGCATACTGGAATAATAAAAACCAGCTTCTGTCAGGGGGTCGTTCTGAAATTGGCAGGGTATTGACATCACAAGCATGAGCTCATTAACAGTTTGCATTTACACATCAACACCGGTCCAGTATTCAGCACGCACTCGACCTGCCCCGAGGATCGACTTCAGTAAACCATGTGCACTTAATAATTAGCTAATATAAAAATATAAAGGAGATCATTTACAGACTGACCTCTTATGGATGCATGCGCACAACAGCCTTTTAATACCAAGAGCTGAAAAGATAAATACATTACAGAGGGACTGAAGGGAAATAAACTACTGAAGGATGGAAAACTGGAGTCGAGGTGTAATATGCAAATAGTTTAGATGTCGTACCTGCCAAATTCTTGAAAGTGTGAGTGGAACAAATAGGAGGCAATGAAAAGATTAGAAAGACTGATATAAATATCAATTTTAAGCTAGAATTTTTTTTTTTAATTAACTAAAGCTATTATAGTATTCACAATGGTTTATATAACATTTTATTCCTAAAAATGTGTGATAAAAAGAGAAATCCAAAATCCCCTCTTTTAAAAAACTTTAGCATGTCAACAAAATCAAACAAGAATCTAATATATAATATTCATATTAATTTTCTGGAAATGTATGCAAATTAGTGCATGTTTAATTAGACAATGCCTCATTTGCATATTCAACCAACATTTCAGAAATCTGAAATACATTGTATGGGTCAAAATTATAGATTTTTCTTTTATGCCAAAAATCATTAGGATATTAAGTAAAGATCATGTTCTATGAAGATATTTAGTAAATTTCCTACCGTAAATATATCAAAACTTAATTTTTGATTAGTAATATGCATTGCTAAGAACTTCATTTGGACAACTTTAAAGATGATTTTCTCAATATTTAGATTTTTTTGCACCCTCAGATTCCAGATTTTCAAATAGTTGTATCTCAGCCAAATATTGTTCTATCCTAACAAACCATACATCAATGGAAAGCTTATTTATTCAGCTTTCAGATGATGCATAAATCTCAATTTCCAAAAAATGACCCTTATGACTGGTTTTGTGCTCCAGGGTCAAATATAAGTTAGAAGTTATATTTCAGACTTATATTCCCTTTTAGTAAAAAAGAAATAATATTGATAATAACGTGTATTATGGTTCGGGCTCTAAAGGTTGGACAACTTTAAAGATGATTTTCTCAATATTTAGATTTTTTTGCACCCTCAGATTCCAGATTTTCAAATAGTTGTATCTCAGCCAAATATTGTTCTATCCTAACAAACCATACATCAATGGAAAGCTTATTTATTCAGCTTTCAGATGATGTATACATCTCAATTTCCAAAACATGACCCTTATGACTGGTTTTGTGCTCCAGGGTCAAATATAAGTTAGAAGTTATATTTCAGATTTATATTCCCTTTTAGTAAAAAATAAATAATATTGATAATAACGTGTATTATGGTTCGGGCTCTAAAGGAGAATCTGTGCCTCTTCTAAGAAGCACATTACACTATTCATGTTCTTTGTACTCTAGTCGTGGAAAACGGCACGCATGCACAGATGCATGCTGGGAGACTCACGTCGTTGTCCATGTATCTGAGCAGCGGTGAAGTGCAGACGCGAGACACCAGCTCTTCATCCTGATCATCGTAACCCTGCAGAAGCTGCTCCATGGCCACGCAGTCCTCACTCCCGCTGAATCCTGGGATGCTGTAGCTCTCCTGCACGCACTTCTCTGCCGCCACATAGTCTCCTCTGTGCAGATGCACCAGCACTTGTGCGATCGTTTTCTGAGCACAAACGTGACACGGTTATGTGTGGAAATGCTCCTGCGACGGCACAGGCTTTACAGCTCAGCACACCGACTCACCTTAAAACACGTCGGGTAGTTTTCTATTTCTTTATACATGTTCTTCTCCTTCTGAAGGGACTCGGCAGCTTCGTCAAACCTGCAATCGGCATCATTCATCTCCTATTAGACTAATACGCGAGACCACTGATTAAAATGAAAAACTGAAATAAGAATGATGCTCCCAAACATTTAAGCAACGATTACTTCTGTTGTCTAACAAGAAGTCTTGATGCTTTGCCAATGAGCTCCACTGCTTGCCGTAGTCGCTCCTCATTCTGAGGAATCAAAAACCACAGGAATGCATGTTTGTACAGTAGTGGGTCATAATGGTCATGTATGTGTGCAGTGATTGGTGGAGCTGTGACGGACCTCAAACACTCCTGCTGCCTGCTGGTACAGATGAGCGGCTTTCGCTAAATCCAGAGGCTCCATCAACCTGCAACAGGACAGCATTCATTAACTGCACACACACCTCACATGCTCTGATCCTGTATGAATCTGGCAGATCTGTGAAGCACACACTTCCCGGCTCGGTCGAGGGCCATGGCGGCGGTGTCTGGAGTGCCGTTCTCAACGTACATCACGCTGGCTTTCTCGATGTACTGCACAGCCTCGGGTAACCTCTGCATGTCCTGTGACAAAACAAAAAAACTTTCATAATTTTCACCCAAAAATGTCCATTCTGTCATCATTTACTCCTTCTCTTGTTGTTTCAAACCAACATGGTCTGCTTTTTTAACAGTGTTCAGTTATTTTGCGGTGTCTTTGTTACAGTGTAATTATCAGTTTAAACACCGAGTAGAAATGATTAACTACAAATACATGTACTTAGTATATGGTTACGGTAAGGATGAGGCTTTGGTTTAGCTGCATATAATTATGCATTATTACTATACTACCAAATGTTCTTCTTATATGTGTGTGTGTGTATATATACAGTATCTCACAGAAGTGAGTACACCCCTCACATTTTTGTAAATATTTTATTATATCTTTTCATGTGACAACACTGAAGAAATGACACTTTGCTACAATGTAAAGTAGTGAGTGTACAGCTTGTACAACAGTGTAAATCTGCTGTCCCCTCAAAATAACTCAACACACAGCCATTAATGTCTAAACCGCTGGCCACAAAAGTGAGTACACCCCTAAGTGAAAATGTCCAAATTGGGCCCAATTAGCCATTTTCTCTCCCCGGTGTCATGTGACTCATTAGTGTTACAAGGTCTCACTAAAATGTACTCAATTGTTTTTGACAAAGTAACGAAGTGCATTTAACATTATATTATGTTGGTGTTTCCCCAAACTGGGTTTGGTGAAGCTGCAGGGGGTCTGTTGATAAAGCTAATAATTAATTAAATCAAAACAATGAAAAATGATCAATTTTATAATTTATACATATTAATATAAATGATCTAAAATTGTTAAATCATTAAATTAAAATTATGCTCATTTATGAACAAACAATTTTAAATATAAATATATATATATATATATAAATAATTAAAAATCTAATATATAATTTATAAATATATAATTATAATATATATATAATTATATTTTATTATGTATATATAATTATTATAATTTTACAGTTTTATGATTTAAATAATTATTAGTTATTTTATATATATATATATATATATAATATTGTATTATTAGATTACTCTTTCAAGATTTTTTTGTTTTTTTTGTATAAATTTAAGTCAAATTGCAAGTCAAACTCTAGAATCCTTAAGAAACAACAACAACACACTCACCTTCAGCATCATTCCTGCTTGCTCGAAGGCCCTGCATACAAAAACTTACGTTTATAACAAGCAGCAAAGTCATACAAAAACACAATGATCAGCACAATAGCCAAGCAGGTCTCTGTAATCACTCACTTGGCAGCATGGAACAGACTGGACCAAGAGTCAAGGACAAGTAAAAGAAAATCTCTTGTGATTTTCAGACTAAATAATGAATCTATCAGTCATCTATCAGTAAGAGCAACAGGAGGATACGATCTGTTGCTGGTGTGAGCCTCTGCCTCCTGTAGATAAGCATCTTTCGCCTGCTCCAGCTGTCTGGCGCTCTTGAAGGCGACAGCTGGAGGAGAAGAGAGGAAGAAGAAAAAATGTCCAAATTGGGCCCAATTAGCCATTTTCTCTCCCCGGTGTCATGTGACTCATTAGTGTTACAAGGTCTCACTAAAATGTACTCAATTGTTTTTGACAAAGTAACGAAGTGCATTTAACATTATATTATGTTGGTGTTT